GAAGTACTCCACAGAGAAAGGTGCTGCAACTCTGTGAGTTTACCAGTGAGGCGCGGGAGGCCGGGCCGGACGCTGTGTCACCCCGCCCGCCCCCGGGACTGCGGGTGCCAGCAGCGTGGAGGTGAGAACTCTATCTTCTAAGCTGCTCTAAACACAACCCCCTAATTAAAAAGAAAAGGGTAGGAGAGGATCCCGAAGTGCTGTGTTCCGTTACATCTGACCTACACTTTATCGTTTAGGTAAACGTTATCTATATAAACCTCTGGGCCCGAGAACGTGTGGGATCCGGACCAGCTCAGGCGAGGGTGGAAACCACAGGGTGCACGGGAGCCCCCAGCCCTCAGTCTGAGCCCCACCTGTAGATGTAGCGGATGACGTAGTAGCACAGCAGGAAGACGAGGAACTCTCCGTAGAGCAGCTTGTAGATGCTGCCCCACCAGCAGATCAGCAGGCGGCAGAAGGAGCCCAGGCGGGCGTTGGCCACCTGGTTGGTGTAAGTGATGGTCATGGCTCTGCCGGGCCGCACCGGGTGGCTTGGGTCCTGGTGGGCAGGCACAAAGGTGCGGGGAGCCTTGGTCAGTTCCTGTGTGGGACTCGCGTGTGACCCTTGCCAGAACCTGTCCCAGCCCAGGGCCTCAGTTCTGTTGCCTGGATGCTGGGGGAACAGGGCTGAGATAGTCTCCAGTGAGCCTGGGCACCCAAGCAAGTGAGCCCCGAAGCCTGCGGTGCCTGGAGATCCTCTTCCTGAGATGCCACGTGACCTGTTCTCTCTGGGTCATTTCCTTGGACAGAGCGTCCCCAACCGTCCTCTGGAAATAGTGTCCATTGCCACCAGCAGGGCGCCCCACTCGCTTGGTCTTCCACACCTCCCTGGCCCCTCTTGAGCTTAGGTGGTCCAGATCCTCCTGTTTCCCGCCCCATAGCAGGTGCTCAGTGAGAGTGTTGAAGCAGTGATTGGCAACCCCACTTGCTCTGAAGCAGCCACAAACTGGTGGTGTCACTGCTTGGTGACACCAAGCTCCTTCCTGTCTCAGGCCCTGCAGACACTCAGGGACGCGCTCTGCCATGGCTGCCTGTACGTGCCCCTCACACATACACGGGACAGCTGGCTGCCCACCCTGCAGGCCCTTGAAGCCCGGTCTACCCTGGTGCCTGTACTCACGGGGGCTGCTGTTGGCCGGGAGGTCCTGCCAAGGCCTGGCCCCTGGCCTGGTGGGCACTCGGAGACCCTGTGGCCAGTGCCCCTGCCCACCCGTGGAGGCTGGTTCTGCCCACACGGGTGAGAGCCGCATGGTCACGTGACTGCTAAGCCAGGGTGCCACAAAGGAGCCTTGTCTGCTCCTGTAATCTGCTCTGAGGTGTAGCCCAGCACGGCCAGGCCCCTCTAATTCCTCCCAAGGCTGGAATCTGGGGCAACACCCCCTCTAGTTTGGTCCTAAAATCCAGAGGTCCTGGGCCCTGCTGTCTTATGGGGAGTTAGGGACACCTGGGGCAACCCAGGAGAGGGCCTCTGCCAGGTCTGGGGACTGCGACAGCCATGTGGGCTGGGAAAGGAAGCCTGAGCTCTGGGCAGAAGTCCCAACTCCTTGTCCTGGCCCTGTGGTGGACTGGTGGGGATCCTGCATCCTGTCTGAAAAGGATGCTGTTCTGGAATTTCATCTCCCTCCATGATGGGATCCACCTGCGCTGGGAAGTGCTCCGATTGGCTGCTGGTGATGTCATGTTTCATGCTGGCTGTGACTGGGCACCAGGACCCTCAATGGATGCTTGGGAGCCCTTGGGTGGCCCCTGGGGAGAACCATAAGCATTCCAACACTCAGCCTGCAGTGCCCGGTCCCTGCCAGGCTGTTGACTGGCTCACTGCTGCCAGGTCTCTCTGTAGTCTGATTCTGGGCCTGGGAGCCACACTTCCTCACACCTTAACTTAGAAGAGGACCCGAGCCTTCGTGTAAACAAACCCACTGTCCTGCCTGCCCTCCTGTCCCCTCCCCGACCCTGTGTAGCTGCTGAGCTCCAGAGGGCCTTGGGCAGACAGTTGGCCCCTTAGCTCCCCCCTTGGAAAACACCATGGGGAGCTTTTCCCTCAGCTGTTGCTAGGTGTCTCACCCGGGTTGGGACAGGCTTCCCGGAGAGGAGTGGTGAGCCTCAGTTTCCCCATCCATGAAGTGGGGCAGTAACACCTGCCGGGGCATCAAGGGTGAGGACACAGGGGCACCTCCGTCCCCTCCCACACCTGTGGCCAGGTGCCCGGAGCCAGGTTTTCCTGGGCAGCTTCTGTAAGCCCAGCGCCTCTGCCTGCCACTCGGGCACCTGGGGGACCCGGTGTCTTTCTAGGTGTGGGGTGGCTCCGTGCAAGGCACTTCCCGCCTTAAGCCTCCTCCACTCGGGAGGGTGCTCTGCCCTGGCGCTAACAGGTGCTTTAAAGTAGACTAGTGCTGGAACAGCAGTGCCCTCTCTGGCCTGGGGCTTCACTTCCTGCCTCCCGGAGAGGCCACTGGGGGGCGCCTGTGACCTGTGCTCTCGTCAGGGAAGCCTGGGCCATGGTGTGGACGCTGGCACGGGTGCTCCAGCTCCCCCATCCCTCTGGCCCAGGCCAGCTGCACTGGGAGACACAGTCCTGTCTGCTCCGGTCTCCCTACCCTCAGATGCCCCCCTGGGATGTCTCCAAGGACGCCTGTGTGCTGCACAGATACGAACTGTTCTCTCCATGGGTCCCCAGCCGGCCAAGCACAGCCCAGGCACACAGGAAAGCCACCGTAAGTACCAACTGGCCTTAGCCAAGCCTGGAAGAAGGGCCCCACCCCAGTCAAGGCTCCCCTGAGTCAGGCCAAGTGCGGAGTTCAGGGAGACTTCTATAGAGAAGGAGCATTTCAGTTGGGTCTTGAATCACGAGCAGGGCTTCTGAGCTGGGAAGAATGAACAAAAGGGCACTGGCAGGGAACAGCCTATGGCAAGTGACAGGCGTTACCGAGGAGCACTTCGGGATACAAAGGACACTCCAGGCCTCCCTTGGCCAACCACACAGCTCTCATTGACTTTGGGCTGAACCCCCATCTCCCGAGCCCTTCCCCTCCCCACGAGGCTTCTGCGGTGGGGGTGACTCCCCGGGTGGGCCTTACCAGTCAGGGAGGGGCTCTGCTGGGGCTAAGCGCAGGAAGAAGACCTGGACCACCGCGCAGCCCATCTCTCAAGCCCCAGGGCGCTGGCGAGCCATGTGGGGCAGGCCCAGACGTGGAGGGTCACCATGGCAACAGGAGCATCACAGAGGGCTGGCCTCTGGGCAGGGGGACCAGCACAGCCAGGAAGGGCCTGTGCCGGGCCAGCTGCCAACCACCGGCCGCCTCTCCCAGGCCCATCACAGGAACACCAGGGTCAACAAACACCGAGAGAGGGAGAGAGGTGGGGGGCGGGGGAGCAGCACGGCGGGATCCGAGCCCAGGCCTGGAGAGGATGACTCCACCTCTGCCCAGCTTTGGGCAGGCCTGCTCCCTCAAGGGCTGGTGACACCACAGAAGGACAGTAGGGATCAGGGGAGGAGGAGAGGCGGGGGCACCCTGGGTCCAGCTTGGTTGAGCCACATCCTGCAGCAGTGATGGTGTGGACTAGGACTGGCCCTGTCCCCCGTGGACTCTGCCCCTCTGGGGTACAAGGTAAGGTGCTGACCCACCCACCCCACCACCCCATGCTCAGTGCCGTCAGTGGGGAGCCGGGGCTCACTCTCCAGCTGTCCCAGCTCAGGCTGCTCACTTGGGTGGCAGGCAAGGAGGAAGAGAGGACTGCGGGTTGTCACCTTGGGACTGTGGCCCACGTTGACAGAAGGTCTAACCTGCAGTTGTCCGTGGATTGGTTGAAGGGATTATTCTTTCCTCGTTGGATGGGCTCAGCACCATCGTGGAAACCATCGGTGAGGGACACGCGGCTCTGCTCCTGGATGCCCTTCCACATCCTGGGCTCAGATCTGGCCTCAGCATTTGCTGTTTTTACTATGAAACTATAGAGAAATTTGGAAATTCAGAAGTCTGAGGTCTCCAGCTTTGTTCTCCTTTCTCAAGATTATTTTGGTTATTCAGAGTCCTTTGAAGTTCCACATGAATTTTAGCTTCACCTCACTCATTTCTGGGGGGAAAAAAAGCTGGAATTTTGAGAGGGATTACATGGAATCTGCAGATGCTTTTGCCATCTTTACAGTGTTAGGTCTTCACAGGAGGTGTCTGTTAATTTCTTTAGATATTCTTTAATTTCATTCAACAGCACTTTGTAGTTTTTAGTGTCTAAGCCATGTACTTCTTTAAAATATTCTGAAGTATTTTTCTTTTTTGTTATTGTAAATAACCTTAGTTACTTGTTGCTGAGACAGAATGCAAGACCCAAAGTTAAAGGAGGTACGGTGTATTGAAGCTCACAGTTAGTATAGGTTTCAGTCCCTAGTTGGCTGGCTCCAAGGCAGGGTGGTGGGGCAGAGGGGCATCGCAGAGGAGGAACAGTCCATGGCAGGGCAGGCAGGAAGTAGCAGAGCAACAACAGCAGGCCTGCTTTCTTTCTGACTCTGTATCCATCCATGCTATCCAAACTTTGGTGGTGCTACCCACACCGGGCCGGCCTTCCCACTATCCCCACCCAGAACTATGCCAGACCAGTCCGTGGACTAACTTAATAATCACACACCCTTAATTTCAGCATCACAAACTTAGTCCCAGCATGGCATACCCTAGACCCAGCCACTTCTGAAAAGCCCCCACATGAAGCTTTGCAGAATATCTAGATACAAGTCATAACATAAACATAGTTTTTATGTTTTTTTGTTTGGTTTTGGTTTTTGAGACAGGGTCTCACTATGTAGTTGAGACTGACCTAGAACTCACTATGTAGCCCAGGCTGGTCTGGAACTCACAGCGATCCTCCTGCCTCAGCCTCCCCATGCTGGGATTATAGGCGTGTCACCACACCTGGCCTTGTTTTCTTAATTTCATTTTCAGATTGTCTAGTGTATAGAAATACAACTGAGTTTTGTAAGTTTACCTTGTACTCTGAAACTACTGAATTCTTTACCAGCTTTTGCATGCACATGTTAGGTTTTCTGTACACAAGGTAATCCCATCTGTGAATATGGTTTTACTTCTTCCGCCAATCTGGATGCTTTTCTCTTTTTTTTCTTGCATGATTGGCCTTGCTTAAACTTCCAGTGAAATGCAGAAGCGTCAGTGCCAGCCATTCTTATCTAGTTCCTAATCTGAGAACAAAATTTGGGGGGTACCGGGCATTGAACTCTGGTCCTTGCACTTGCAAGGCAGGGGGCAGAACCACTGAGCCAAATCCCGAGCCCTAGAAGGAAACATTTTAATCTCTCACCACTAGGTGGTGTTATCTGAGGGTTTTAACAGATGCCCTTTGAGGGCATGGAGGTTTCTTGGCCTTCCGAGGCACCACTGAGCTACATCCCGGGCAACCCCATGTGTTGAGGTTTCTTTCCACACTCAGTTTTTTGAGTGGTTCTTTTATCACGAGACGGTGTTAGTTTCGTAAAATCATATTTTCCATCAGATGGTTATGTGGTTGTTTCTTTCTTTTTTTTTTTTGGTACCGGGGATCGAACTCTGATCCTTGCGCTTGCAAGGCAGGCAGCAGAACCACTGACCTAAATCCCTGGCCCTGTGGTTGTTTTCATTTTAACAATATGGCGTAATTACATCGATGGATTTTGATGGGTTGAAATGAGCAACTTGCATTCCCAGATAAATCCCATGGTTGATAACCTTTTACTGCACTGCTCTTGGACTCACTGCTGTTTGTTGAGGGTATTTGCATCTGTATTCATGGTCTGCCACTTTCTTTCTGTGTGCTGTCTTTGAATTGGTTTCTGGGTGATGCCATACAATTCTATAAAGTACATATTCTCCATTTTTTGGAAGAGAACAGTTAGCATTCATTCTTTTAAAAATGTTTGAGGGAATTCACCCATGGAGCAGTCTGGTGTTAGTCTATTCTTTTTTTTTTTTTTTTTTTTTTTTTTTTTTTTTTTTTTTGAGACAGGGTCACCCTGTGTAGTTGAGACTGACCTGGAACTCACTTTGTAGTCCAGGCTGGTCTCCAACTCATAGCGATCCTCCTGCCTGCCTCAGCCTCCCTAGTGCTGGGATTACAAGCGTGCATTACCACGCCTGGCTGCTAGTCTATTCTTTATTGGAAGTTTTGATAATAACTGATTCAGCCTCCTGTGTGTGCCTGTGTGTTCGGAGTTACTATTCTGAGTCAGTTTTGGAAGAGTGCATGTGTCTAGAGATTTTCCCATTTCATCTAGTCATCTAGATTATTATCTAACTCGTTCTTATGATGTTTTTGTGGTACTAGCGACTGAACTAGGGGTACTCAACCATTAAACTACACCACCATGGTTTGTTTGTTTGTTTGTTTGTTTTTGGTACCGGGGATTAAACTCAGGACCTTGCACTTGGGAGGCAGACGGCGACACCACTGAGCTGAATCCCTGGCCCTCCATTTTTAAAGATTTATTTTCAGATGAGCCTTGCTGTTTTTTCATCTGGCCTTGAACTTGCAGCCCTCCTGTCTCAGTTTACCAAGTAGCTGGGATTACAGGTATGCACCACCATTCCCAGTTTATGATCTTTTTTATTTGTAAGATTGGAAGTAAATTAATTCCTAATTTTTCTAATTTCAGTTCTCTCTTCCTCTCTCTCTCTCTCTCTGCTGCGAGTTCTGGACAAGCCTGGGCTACGGAGTGAGTTCCAAGGCAGTCTCAACTATATAGTGAGACCCTGTCTCAAAAAAAAACAAAAAAAAAAACAAACAAAAATTTTTTTTTTTTGCCAAATGTTTCTGTTTGTGAACCAAATTGTTTACAAATAAAAGTGTTCGTGAACCAAGGTATCACTGTATTTTTTTCTTGATTCTACTGTGTTTTTTTGTTTGCATTTGTTTATTTGTTTAAGACAGGATCTCAATAGATAACTCAGGGTGGCCTTGAATAATGACAGTCCTCCTTTCTCAGCCTCCTGAGTGCTGTGATTACCGGTGTGCCCCGCCATGCCCAGCTCTTAGTGCTATTTTTTTTCTAATTTTTTTTCTTAGTTAGTTCACTACTGGCATACAGGAATACAATTGGTTTTTGGGCCCGGGATTTAGCAATTTAGTTCAGTGGTTCCACTGCCTGCCTCGCAAGCAGAAGGTCCAGAGTTTGATGCCCAGTACAAAAAAAAAAAAAAAAAAAAAAAAAAAAAAAAAAAAAAAAAAAAAAAGATAATACAATTGGTTTTTGTGTGTAGATTTTGTACTCTGCTGCATTACTGAATTTGATTATTAATTCTGACACTTGGTGGGGTTTTTGGGTCTTTTCTGGAGAGGATCGTGCCATCTGCAAATGTCAATTTGACTTCCTGTCCTGTACTTACCTTTTTATTTCTTCTTCTTGCCTACTTGTCCTTGCTCATATTTCAAGTACTATGTGGAACAGGAGTAGTGATGGAGACACCCTTGTCCTGTTCCTTTCCCATTTAACGTGATACTGGCTGCAGGTTTGTGATAAATGGCTTTTATCAGACTGAGCTAAGGTCCCCCCATCCCTCTTTTCTTCGCTCAGTACTATGAAAGGTGCTGGGTTTTGTCAAAGGGTTTTCTGCATCCAGTTGAGATGGTTATGTGATTTTTGTCCTTGCTTCTGTCTAGGTGATGTGTCACCTTTGTTGATTTGCATGTGTCAAACCATCCTTTCATCTCTGGGATAAAACTCCTTGGTCAGGATGTATGATGTTTTTGTTGTTGTTGTTGTTTTGAGACAGGGTCTCACTGTGTAGTTGAGACTGACCTGGAACTCACTATGTAGCCCAGGCTGGCCTCGAACTCCTAGCCATCCTCCTGCCTCAGCCTCCTGAGTGCTGGGATCACAGGTGTGCACCACCACACCCAGCTATTCAGGATTTTTAAATCTTCTTGGTTCAGTTTTGGAAATTCATATGTATCTAGGAATCTATTTTTTCTGGGTTCTTTAATTTCCAGGAACGTAAGTTCTCAAAGTAGTTAACAATAATTGTGACTCTGATTGGGTCCATTTGAGTAAAAGAAGCGAAACTACTTTGGATCCTCACTCTCACCCGGGTGTGGAGGCCGCCAGGGCCGCTTGTTGCCCGGATTCTGTAAAGAGGAAACAAAAGACAGCTCTGCCTCTGTGTCCTCAGAGGAGCTCCTGCCGCCTTCGCTTCTCCAGGCTTCCTGGGCAGAATCCCGCCTCCGCTGCACTCCCATCGGCCTCCTGTTGGGACTCTCACAGTTCACTGCAGTGGCTCCAGGCCTTGGCCTCCCCTGTGTGGACGGACCTCTGCTCTCTTCACATCTGGCTCTGTGAGTGGCCACTGATCCAGCCTTGGCAGTTCTTATTTATATATTTATACACCGTGTGTTGCTTCTGTGTCTCTAGTGAACACCAACAGATACAGGTTTTGGTACCAGCAGTGGATCTGGAGAAAAGACTGTAAAGATGAAAGTCTGTAACGGCTTTAGGGTTCCTGGGGTCGCACTCCAATCTGATGAATCCTAAATTCGCTGCGGCCTCTCTTTCCGGTGCTGTGGGGCACACTGATGTCCTTGGCGTGAACCATTTAAAGTAGTACATTTGATCTCCCTAATTCACCACTGTTAGTGTCAGGAATTTAGCAGCTCCATCTATGAAAGTTGTGAATATTTTTGGCAGAGTGGGAAATGTAATGATGTGGCTGGTTGGATTTAACATCTCTGGACAAACTAGTAAAGGACGGAGCCAATGAGCTCAAAACGTCCACAGGAAATCTAGGGTCTTCTGACTGTGAGGTCAAATTAGAAAGGAAAATAAGGAGCTCAAAGATTCAAATTCCCAGCTTCAGGGGCACCAAGAAATGTAAAAGCTTTTCAGTGTGTCCTGAAGGAAAATCTTTTAGGTTCAGGGCCAAGATCGCAGAAACCCAAACACAGGCCCTAGTAATTCGATTGGCTGAACTACAGCGTAAGCTGAATGCCAGCCTCAAAGGGGATCTGAGGGTGCAGATCAGAAAAAGGCTGGGATGGAGACCTTTGGGAGGGTCCTGGGAGGCTGAGGATGTTGTTTCTAGTGCTGAGGAGATTCTTTTGCCAGAAGAAGAGACTTCCCCCCGTGCCGTGTAAGAGGCGGCAGAGGCACCCATCCCCACCCGGTGGTGTCACCCTCCCGTAGGGCTGTGCCCCGAGGACCCTAATCCTGTGCTGACCAAGCGTGCTAACGCTCCTCAGGACCACCTCACCACCCACTTCTGCCTCTAGGTCCATAACCAGGCTCCGGCAGAAGGCGCCCAAGGGTGAGGCACACAGCGTGACCCACAAGAAGTCCACGGCTCCCCCAGAACTTCTCCAGTTTTCTAACTCTTACGAGAGGCTGGTGAACAAGGGTGGGAATGGGCCTTAGGGTGTGGGAGAACCGTGGCCCAGATATACACCTGGCTCGGGCACAGTTATCAACGTGGGCCCATTAAGCAGCGATTCTGAATGTCATGTTGCAGCGCTCAGAGTAAAGAAAGGTGTTAAATATTTCTGTGGCTGGGCGGCAGAAGTGTGGTTCAAAAGCTGGCCACGGTGAATGAGGCCGAGGTGCCCGATAGTCTCTGGTTTCCTGTTGAGAAGGGGCTTAGAGGCTCGGGGGATGGCGATGCTGGAGTGGGTCTGTCATGCGACACCTAATCCTCCGCACTGCGATGATCAGAAAATGTGCCCTTCACCAACACTGGAGAAGACTCCTGAAGGGGCACTAGCGTCCCCGAAGAGCCCGGCAATTGCTCTTCTCCGTGCCAGACCTTACCGTGGGGCCCATGGCTACTCAGCTGGGAAACTGAAAGGCACTGGGCTTGATTGGATCCGGAGTGGCAGGGCCGAGGGGCAGCGCGTGATTGCCGAAGGCAGGGTGCACGCCTCCCCGTGCTGGACAGCAGGAGCAGAACACGGGCCAGAGTGGTCAGACACGAGTAGACCTATGGCGTTGGCTGATCAGCCATGTGTTCCCCAAAGTGAAACAGACAGGAAGGCTACAAGGTATTTACTAGATTGATATGATCGAAAACACTTATAGGCAAATGAGCAGAAACCTACTTCAAATCGTGGTAACAGAGTCACATCTCTCAGTCAGTTTCCAGATTGGAGCCAGTTTGCAGACCAGGACCCATCGAGGGAAGGGGAGACCGGGTCCCCCTGGGGAGGGACTCTGATGCCCCAGAGAGTTAGCCTTTCTCCCCTCCTTCCCCAGAGGGCCCTGAGCCTTGTGCCCTAGAGACTGTCCACTGGGGGAAGGGAAATGACCAGACATTTCAGGGACAACTGGACACTGGTTCTGAACGAACACTGATCCAGGGAATCCGACTGTCACTGGCCCTCCAGGGAGAGTAGGGTCGATGCAGGTCAGGTGACTCACAGCGGCCCAGAGGTCCTTGAATCCATCCGTAGCCGTGCCACTGTTCCCGAAGGCGTAATTTGGATGGATATACTCAGTCCTTGGCAGAACCCTCACACTGTCCCCTAACCCGTGGTGCGAAAGGCCATTGGAGTTGCTGTTGCCTGGTAAAAGAGTAAACCAGCAGCAGTGCCTATCGCATTCCTGGGTGGACTGCAGAGCTCAGAGCCACCATGGAGCGCTTGAGGACACGGGGTGGTGGTCCCCAGCTCATGGCCGATTAATGCCCCCTTCTGGCCTGTGTGGAAGACGGACAGGTCTTGGGAGGTCAGTGGATGACCACAGACTGAGCGCAGAGGGCACTCCGATGGCGGCTGCGCTGCCCAGTGTGGCCTCTCTGCTTGAGCAGGTGAACACCGCCTGCTGGCCCCACGCCTGCCCCCCAGGCCCATCAGAGACGATGTGCGTTCAGCTGACAAGGCCAGCAGTCGCCCCGCTGTTCCGCTCAGCATCGTGTGATCTCTGCAGCCCTGCCGCACGACTTGGTGCGTAGAGGCCTTGATCACCTTGCTCTCCCCCAAGGAGGGTCCATGATGCTCATGATGCTGTGCTGACTGGACCAAGCAGCCACTCTGGATTTGTTAGCAAAGAATGTGAGAGCCAGAGGGAAGGACCTAAATCAACAAAAATTCAAAGTCCTTCTACCTCAGTGAGATTTCTAGGAGTACAGGGCTGGGGGGCGTGTGGAGATCTCTCTTCTGCTTGCTGTGACCTGTCCTCTGATGCCACCCGGCCCTGAAGCCAGTTGATTATGGACTGAAACCTCTACAAACTGTGAGCTAAATATAGCTTCCCCCTTTAATTTTGGGCATTGAGTATTTTTTCTCAGCAATGACAGAATAGTAGCTATGACAATAATCTGGATTTGGGTGGCAATCATGCTGGCCTTGAATGCAGGATGATCCTCCTGCTTCAGCTTCCCAAGTGCTGGGATTATAGTTGTGTGCTACTGGCTATTTTGCATTTCTTTCTTTATTTTTTTTTGGTACTTGGGTCCTTGCACCTGCAAGGCAGGCAATGGAACCACTGAGCTAAATCCTTGGCCCTGCATTTTGTATTTCTGACTTCATTGATTTGGATCTTTTCTCTCTCTCTCTTTTTTTTTTTTTTTTTTTTTTTTTTGGAGGAAGGGGTTAGATTAGCTAAAAGTTTTGTTTTGTTTTCTGAGACAGGCTCTGGTTATGTAGTTCAAACTGGCCTTGAATTCACAGCGATCCTCCTGCCTCAGCCTCCAGAGTGCTGGGATCACTGGCATTTACCACCACACTTGGCTTCTTCCTTGATTTCTTCCATAACCTATTGCTTATTTTCAAGTGTGTCATTGAGTTTCCACTCATTTGCATGATTCCTCTCTCTTGCTGCTTTCTACTTTTTTTGCACTATTATTTGATAACACACATAGTATAATTTCAGTCCTCCTACAAGTTTGCTTTATCAGGTAGTATGTGGTCCATTTTGGATAAAGTTCCTCATGCTGGTGAGAAGAGTGTGTGTATCCTGCTGTTGCTGGGTGGAACACGCTGTAGGTATCTATTCAGTTCATTTGTTTGAAGGTTTCCTTCAACTCTGATATTTCTTTGTTGGTTTGCTTGTCTAGCTGATCTATTTTTGTTTGTTTGTTTTGGTTTTTTGAGACAGGGTCTCACTATATACTTGAGACTGACCTGGGACTATGTAGCCCAGGCTGGTCTCAAACTCACAGTGATCCTCCTGCCTCAGCCTCCCGCGTGCTGGGATTACAGGTGTACCACTACGCTTATATACTTGAGACTGACCTGGGACTATGTAGCCCAGGCTGGTCTCAAACTCACAGTGATCCTCCTGCCTCAGCCTCCCGAGTGCTGGGATTACAGGTGTGCACCACTACGCCCAGCTAGGTGATTTATTTGTGCTGGGATTACAGGCCTGCACCACCATACTCGGCTTCCATTGATTTTGAAAGACAGTTTTACAGGGTACATCGGCCTGGGTTAGAGTTTTCTTTTAGGTCTTGAAACCTTTCATCCCAAGCTTTCCCAGCCTTTAAGGTTTGTGTTGAGAAGTCTGCCATGATTCTAACAGGGTCACTTTTGTATGTGATTTGTTGCTTTTCTCTAGCCACTTTTAAGATTCTGTTCTGGTGTTGAACTTCTGGGATTTTGATTATGCTGTGTTATTGAGAGGTTCTTTTCCTGATTGTGGCTCTTGGGGTCCTATATGCCTCACTTATGTGTGTTGAATTCTTTTTTGGAAAGTTTTCTGCTGTTATTTCAGTTAGCTGGCTTTTTTATGCCTTCTGTGCTGTCTTGCGGTTTTCACGAATTCCCTTAGGTTAGTCTTCTTTGGGTCCTCTAGTAGCTGCGGAATCCGTTTTCCTTGCGAATGGGTCCCTGAATACAGGCCTGTCTCCTCGTTCTGACACCTGGCCCTCCCTTGAATTGGCCACTTCTGTTGTCCATGCTTTTGATCACATTCGGTTGCCTGTCTCTCTGGAGCCTCCTGAGGACTAATTCTTTTCTGTGCTGGTTGGGCGTCCTTTTGCTTCTCCCCACTGGCTTTTTATTAGTGTCCTCTGTAGCCTAGCTGCTTATTTTGTTTAGCCCATTGTTTGTCGGCCTAGACCTCCTGTGGCCTTGCCAGGTGCCTTATCGATCTCCTTTGGTACTTCCTGTGCTGTCATTTCAAGTGTTTCAGGTGGAGGCTTTTGTTTTCCTCCCCTTGGATGCTGCCTGCATCAGCTTTGCGGGAGTTGGGAGTTTTATTGTTTTGTTTTGTTTTGATGGTACCAGGGATCGAATTTAGGTCCTTGGCGTTTGCGAGGCAGGCGGTGGCGCCACTGCGTTACATCCTTGCCGGAGTTGGGGGTTTGGGAGGCATGTTGTTGGGCGTCCTCTCATTTCTGTCATCTTTTTTT